TCTCTCTCTCTCTCTCTCTCTCTCTCTCTCTCTCTCAGTGTCTTGCTATGTAGTTCAGGTTGGTCTGTTGGCCTTGAACTATGTAGTCCAGGGAGGTCTTGAAATTGCAGCAATTCTCCTGCCCCAGCTTCCTGAGGTGTGTGCCTCCATATCCAGCTTTGTAGGGCTGACTCTAAATCAAGAGCACGGAGGATGGATATTATAGCAGTAAAGGGAGGTTAAGATTTCTAACAGCATCAGAGAAAACAAAGTGCCCAAGTATAAACAAAATATCTGTGGGATCTGTATCCTGTAAACCAAACACTGATGACAAAAGAAATCAAGGATCTAAATAAATGATGCATCACGTTCATAAGTCAAAAGACTCAGTATCACAACGCTGTCAATTTTCCCACTGCTGCTATAGGAATGTTGGGGCATGTTGAGGGTGATGAAGGAGGAGGATGGAGGAGACAGGGTGTGAACAAATTTACTTATATAAATGAAAGGAAGTAAAACTCCCACTAGCCAGCAGGGGTTCTGAGTAAGACACCAATGAGGGCTCACTGTCTAGGAATTGTAAAGGGGTTAGAAGGACATTTGGGCCACTACGTAAGCAATATAATCTCTACCCTACAGGGGACTACATGTGTTTTTTAGGGCCCAACCTATGTAGTGCTTGCACAGTACCTATGCAGGGACCATGTACCCTTGAGCCAGTGGCCTTCCTGATCATGCTCTGGGGAAGTCTGGCACAGCCGAAGGACACCTGGCAGATGTTTCAGTAAGATTCCTGAAGTGCCAATACCCAGCAGACTCTGTTGGGGCTTCTTGACTCCATACTGGAGCTGCTGTCCTTACTGTCTAATAAAGTTTTAACTTTTGTCTCATTAGTTTTTGTTACAATGTGATCTTTAGATTTTACACAATCCCAATTAAAAGAATCAAAGAAAATTAAACATACCAAAATGATTCTAAAATCTGTATGAAAAAGGAAAACAAAACAAAAAAACCCGTCAAAAATAGAATAGTCAAAAATAACTTGAAAAAAGAACAAAGTTGCAAGAGTCACACTACCTGATAACAAAATGTTAATTATAAAGCTGTAATAATCAGATAAGACACTATATAATAGCTTAGCATGGGGGGGTACATGGCAGTAGTCCTAGCTATTCATTTGAGTCTAGGAGTTTGAGGCCAGGCTTGGCAATATAACAAGACTCCCTCTCCTAATACAGAAATACAAAAAGGGCTCAAAGAATGTAGCTCAGTAGTACAGCACATGGTTAGCATGTGCAAGGCCTTGGGCTTGAGCTCCAGCTACATGAAAAAACAGACACAGAGTATTGGTGAAAGAACAGGCAACAGATGGAATAGAAAATACAAAATTATAATAAAAATATTTTTTTTTTCAGTAGTAGAGATTGAACCTAAAATCTTTGCACTGAGCTACACCCTCAGCACTTATTTTCTGAGTCTTGTTTAGTTGTCCAGGTGGAATTCAAACTTGTGAACCTCTTGCCTCAATCTCCCAAAGTGCTGAGATTACAGGCCTGTGCCACAGAGTCCAGTAAAATGCAGGGATATTTTACAAAGGTATAACAGAAGTAAACAGAGAACAAAAGTCTTTTCTGGTAATGGTGTTGGAACAATTGTACATCTATAAGCAACAAAATTAACACATACCTCACACATTATACAAAAATAACTTGAATTATAGACCTAAATGTAAAATGTAAGACTTATAGAAGAAAATCTTCATGATCTTGGGTATGGAAAGTCACTGTACTTAAAAAAAATGTATTTGGTTGTTATTGGGTCTCAATACACAGGTTGGACTCATAGTGATCCTCCCGTTTTCAGCCTTCCAGCACTGGGATTATAGGTGTGTGCCACTATACCGGGGAAAGCCACTGTACTTTTAAGAGAATGAAGACGAACTACACACTGGGTCATATTGTAAATCACTTATCGGGTAAAGGACTGATAACAATACAATATCAAGAATGCTTAACACTCAACAATAGACTCAGTTTTTAAAAATGAATGAAAAAGCCAGGTGTCATGGCATACACCTGTAATCCCAGCATTTGGGAAGCTGAGGTAGGAGGTCTGCTATGACTTCAAGACCAGCCTGAACTATACAGTCCACCAAAAAAAAAAAAAAAATGTATACACATTCGAGGAAAAGAAAAATAGAATTTTTTTCAATAGATGGTGTTACTTTCACAGGGGAGACCCTAAAGGATGCTGCATATTGCATAAAACTCCACTATACCTTTGAGAATTGAAAATATGCAGCAATCTCAATGACCAAGGCTACCCAAGCAATAATTTGTCATACTAATAAATGTCTGGAAGCCAATGGCCACAAGTTTGAGTACATATTGTAACTGTTGAGGTCAAAGGGAACTTGTATTAATCTCATGCTATCTTGATAAATTTAGTATTATAATATTTATACGTTTCTCTTTTTCTGTAGTGTATATCTGTGGACTCTGTTTATAGTGAGACCCTATCTCAAAAGAGAGAGAGGCGGGCTGGGGAGTAGCTTGGTGGTCTAAGTGCCTACCTGGCAAGTGCAAGGACCCGAGTGTGATCTCTGGTACAGCTTGTTGTGCTGCACCAAAACTGGGCATGATCCCAGCACTTGGGGAGGCTGAGACAGGAGGATCACTGAGTGTGAGGTGCATAGTGAGACTCTGTACCACATAAATAAAAATTTCAAAAAGAGAGAGAGAGGGTGGGAGAGAGGGAGGATAATGGGTGGCAGATCTCTAGAGATACTATATCAAAGAAGATAGAAAATTAGAAATATAAAATGTGCATAATAACAAAAAATTAAGTAAGCGGTTATGAGTTGTATCTGGGTAGGTTCACAGGTCAGGTGATGGGGAGGTGGCTGGATCATGGGGACATCATAGTGAACTGTAATGTTAGGAGGCGAAGCTTCCTACCACGCCACGGCTGTCTCTTTGTTGTCATTTTGCTGCTCTGCCTTGGAGCAAACCAGTGACGTACTGCAACCTCTGACAAACTGAGCCAAAATAAATCTCTCCTTTAAACTGTGGATGCTGGCATTGTGTCCTCTGTGTCCGGCTCAGAGCAAAGTCCTCTCATTGGAATTGGTTGTCAATCAAAGTTCCTTTCAGTTTTGCTTTCTTGGCTTCCAGTTCGGCCAGCTCTCGCAGTCTTCTCTTGCTCATGCCTTTACGCTCTAGCTGTTTCCCAATCACTTTGGCATTCTGGGCATACGAATCAGCAACTTCTCTAGCCTCAATCTCCTCTTCTTCTTCATCAATGGTAGACACAGTGACAGAGCTGCACTTGCCCATGTCCTTAGTCTGTTTGGTCATCATCACCTTTTTCAGAGGCTCTTGTTTCTGGGTGTATATGTTTGTTTTCCCAAAACCCTGGCCAAACTTCACTACTGCTCCATCCACAATGAAGGTTACGGGAGCATTCTTTGGCTGGGACTGGTAGAACAGTGGGAGTCCGCATTTTGCACATTTCTTCCTGTATTGTCTTTCGATGCCTTCTGGCCTCCGAAGATACATAGTCTCCTCATCTTCCGTGTTACAAAACTTGTGGGCATGTTTGGCAGCATCAATCACACAGGATCTGTCCCGGGGTCTCATAGGCAACTTTTCTAATTGACAGTCCAGAATCAGGACCATCTGGCCACACAAACAGTAGTAAACATGGAGAGGCTTCTCGCCGTCGTCATATTCCTCGCGATCTCGAGTATCTGAGCAAGCCACCGACCGAGACACCACTTTGGGCATGTTCCCAAATGTAACGAAGGACCTGGTGGCCTGTAGACGCATTTAGAAGGAGGTATTTGTGGCACGCTGCTGATCTGCAAAGACCCACTGGGGCACAAGTATTTCTCAGTGTACCCTAGTGTCGCTCCTACAGGGCCTAGGCTGGATTGGGCACGTGCCCTAAACCTTCGATGGGGTCCCCAGCAGCTTCCTGAGGACGATGAGGAGGACTGCTCTTAGGGAACCTGGGGAGACCCTAAAAGGGAAGGTGCCATAGAAGGCCCTTGCGGGTGGGAGCTGGTGAAGCTCAAACTAAATTGGGAGATTTTCCCAGAAGGCGCCTGGGGTGACCTTGGGCAAGTCCACTCGCCACTATGCGCCCCTCCCCGTGCCAGTGAGCTGACAGGAAGCCGCCTCCCGCCGCCCTCCAGAAAGCACGGGCTGGGCCCTCCTCACCTCACAGCAGGATAACTGCGCTTCACCTCCTGGGGACCTCGGAGCTTCCCCACTTCCGGGCCACCGGGTTTAAGTCAGCATCACCCCAGCTCCTGAAGCTGTTCTCAAGCTTACTGGGCCAGGACGAGCAGCAGCTTATAGGCCATCACAGCTGTGAGACAAATGTGTGGCGAACACTGGACAGGCTGAGATCATGGCGGCTGCCCGCCTAGCCCCCTCAGAGCCGCGCATGCGCACTAGCTCCTGCGCCCTGCTCCTGCGCACTTTCTCTAGCAAACCTCTCCGCCTTGTGGAGACTTCCCTCTGTTCACCTAGTATGTGCATGCCTTGTTTTGACCTTTGATACCATTGCTTTTCTGGTTAATTTTTTTTTTTTTAAATTGAAAAGAATATTACTCATACTTTAGAAGGAAAAATTCGTTGAAGTCAGTTATTGTGAAATGAAAGCTATCTGGCAATATGGAGGAAAGAATGTGATAAGGCATAAGTACTAGGAGGATTATAGGTATGGAGACTTTTTGATTCTGTGTAGTTCCTGCAGTACATGATACATTCGTATGCTCTGGTTAGTAAAGCGGTGTTGTGAGAACTGAGGGAATCCAGGATGTCTGGGAGTGAGGAGGTTGGAGACTGGGGGTTAAAGTTCCTGTGGAGCCAGTGAGATAAATGGAGGATGCCAATATTAGGGAAGGAGACTGAGTTTTGATAACCTTAATAAGAGGGCGATGAGAAGCAACTGAGAGGTGTCTATGGACCTGCACAATTTGGCTGACCTCTTGGAGTAGACTGTGAGCTGAAGTCTGTGTAGTCTGGGTGGAGAATGGGGTGGACAAAGGAAAAAATGCACTGGGTTTGGGGAGCTTTGGATGGTACTGCTACACTGTAATTTTGGTAGACTATCTCATTTTATTAATGGCATTTCAAAGCTGGGAAGTGCTGGAAAGGAATGCAGGAAAACTATTGTTTTTTAAGATCCAAGCAGAAGGAAGAAAGAGGAGAGCAGCATGAACATAAGGAAGTAAAAGAAAGTAAGAAAGTAAGAGTGAATGCTTAGTTTCAGAGATGAGAGACTCAAAGAAAAGGATGGATTAAAGCCTAAAAAGAAAGAAAAGTTCTCTAGTTGCATCCATTTACCAACAACAGACTCAAATTTATCGTGTTTTATAGCTGAATAAAACTACATTGTGTGAAAATACCACATCTTCTTTATCCATTCTTTAGTTGATGTGTGTCTGGGTTGTTTGCAGGATTTAGCTATGATAAATTGTGGTGCTATCACTCTTTAAAAAATAAAAAAGAAAAAAGAAAGAAGAAAAAGATCCCAGTGCTCTAAAGGAACAAGAAGTCCCCCAACATCCTTCCTGCTTACTTTTCCAGTAAAATACACAGCTGGGCTTACCCTATCCTGGTTGATACCAACTTTATCAACTTTTCCATCAAAGCCAAATTAGTCTTGGTGCAATCAATGATGGACTGTCTGTATACCAAGTGTATCCCTTCTACTACTAATTGTGTAATGGTGAAAATTGAGAAACTGGGACAGAAGTATCTAGTGGCTCCAAGGATTGCCAAGTATCCATGGTTTGATCTGTTTTTTTTTTTTTTTTTTTTTTTTTTGTGGAACCAGGGATTGAACTCAGGCCCTTGCGCTTGCCAGGGAAGTGCTTATTCTACTGAGCCATCTCCCTCGCCCCTAATATCCATGGTTTGAATGATTATCTTGCAGATATAAAAGGATCTATGCAGATGATTGCTTAGTGCAGACAGTAACTCAGTACAAGTGTTACATTGTGGACATAGTTGACCAGGACCTTAAATGGAGAATCTGGAAGAGCCCTGGAATTCCTATTATGTACATTTCTTATCACAGATGAAACATTGAGTGGTTGCCACATGATTATGGAGCCCTCAGCTCTGATTCCTACAAGACAAAGTTCCACTGCCTTCTGCTGACCAACTTTTTGTTTTCAGTTCAACATACTGGTTGAACTCAGGCCTTTGCGCTTGCCAGGAAGCGCTTATTCCACTGAACCATCTCCCTGGCCCCCATTCACTTTTTTTGCATTCACTTTTTGATTCTTTTTGAAAATGGTAATTTGTCTACTTGAAAATTTGTTGCATCGTTTTATAAATCAGGTGGTCCAATGGCTGTTCATGTAATTTGATTTACTCAATAAGCATTTATTAAGTTTATACTAGGTGTTTATTAAGGAATGTTCCTGTCCTCAAGACACTTGTATAGAAGAGAAACTCACTGAGTAAATATAATAAAATAAGTGGGACATGGTGGTGCCCACCTGTAATGCCAGCACTTTGGAAGATCACTGCAAAACCCAGGCCATCCTTGGCTATAGAGTGAGTTCAATCAGCCCAAATTACATACTGAGACCCTGTCTCAAACAAACAAACAAACAAACAAACAAAAAACAAAAAAGATGTAGCTTTCCCCTTAGAGGAACAGTCCCAAGGATGTGAAAGTCATTTTTACTACTAGCCCATTGGTTGCAAGTTCAAGCTGCAAGAGAGGCTGGGAAACAGTCACCTGACCAAGGTCCCAGCTAGCAACACACTGTTACTGTAGAAAGGCGGCCAGGAAAGTTGAAAGTGTTTGTTTGCACACAGACAAAGGCCCATGGTGGGGTGCTTGATCTTTTGAGATGACTGCCGGGACATTTTTATGACTAAAACATAGAGCTCATGGGGACATATCCTGGACCCACATCTGTGAGGGGGCCTTATGTGGCATTTCCAAAGATTTGGACTTGATCCTGAGAATTTAAATTAACAGACAGAGTGTAAATACTATAAAAAGATTGATGAGTTTGGAAGTATTAAAATTATAGATTTCTGTATAAGTTACTTTGGTCCTTCCCATGACAAGGAACTAACTGATCAGATTTTCCAGCATATATATTCAGGAGTGTGGGGAAATGGGTATTCTTGTTTATGTAAAAAGTTTTTAACTCTCTTTCTTGATAGAGAGAGAGAGAGAGAGAGAGAGAGAGAGAGAGAGAGAGAGAATAAAAGAGATCCAAGTAGAGGCTTGGTACAGAGCAGTTTGAAGTAGAGCACTATCAATGCCTAGGTGGAGACACAGGAGAGGACTGAAAGTCTTGAATATTTCTGTAAAAGCAAATGAATTGTTCCTATGTCAAAAAACCAAAAACCAGATACAGCAGGATCAAATTCAAGTACAAAGACAAAATTAGTCAAGTCCACAAGGACATGGTGAAGTAAGAGAATTTGGAAAGGGGAATAAGATTGGCAGAAAGTTGACTGAGAAAGTAAAAGAGCCTACACATCAGTCACTACAGACCACTTGCAATTGCAGTAGATGAGTGCATTTAAGTCCCCAGTTTTCAGTCTTACAACTTATGCTTGGGTTATTAATTATCAACTTTGTGACAGAAGAAGAGAAGCTGTTTTAGTTGGGTGTCTACCTTCCTAGAAAGAGGATTTTGAAGCTTTTTGTGTTGCAGAAGAAAGGCAAAACTTTGGGTAGTTGGAGGCCAAATAGAGTGGGAGAGAACTTGATATAGAAGGAAGGGAGAGCAAGAGAAAGTCGGGGTCTCCTATCTGCCAGCATTCTCACAGTCACAGTGGCCAGCAGCAGGAGACCTGCATCATGCATATGCTAAAGGGTCAAGCCAAGGAGCATTTTTCCCCAGGCTGGAAAGGACCTAGACAGAACTAGGACTTTCAGACAGATGGACAGGAGAAAAAAGCAAACTTCTCAAGGGCAGATGGTTGTCACCAGGTAGTGAATTTATCAGGTATTTCAATAAGGATCTTGTGAGAGGACACTGACTTTTGAGAACTGAACTAATTGCTTTGAAATTAGCTCCTGGACTTTCATGAGATTGTTCTCTGGGGAATTTGACATTCTTGTGAATGTAGTAAGCTCTGGTGATTACCAAGGCTGAGGCAGAGGAAGCAGCCTGTGGAAATAAGGAGGCTGGAACCTCTTTCAGTTTGAACACACCTACGACCTTGATGACCTTGAAGGCTAGCCCAACATGTGCCTTACCTAGAAGCTTTTTATATGTGCTCCCAGCATCTGTCAGATCCCAAGATCTTCTGGTTCCTATGAAAGCTACCCTTTGATGATGGTTTCTTTCAAGTTTCCATGGGGTTTTTGAGATTCCAGGAGGTTGGAAGGCACAACCTACAGTAAGAGTAGGATCATCAACACCCTTAAGGATTCATCAACACCCTTAGGGTTGAGCCCCATCTGCTCAACCTTCCTACTTGGATAGACTTCTACCTACCTTTCGGGTTCTTTGTGTTTTTACTGTTGCCAAATCACTTAGGTGTCCCAACTGTTTCATATGCTACGCTACCTCAGAGGAGGACTCTAGATGATTCATTGGGGAAATTTGTACACCTCCAAACACATGTTCTAGGGCCTTCACCTGGTCATCCTTTGAGCATTTCCCTATGTGGGATATTTCTGGTTTCTCTGCCCTGGTCTTTTCCATGGCTTGACTGCTGTTCTTTAAAATCATGTAGGTCCAGATGGACAGAAGAAAAAAGCAACCTCAAGGAGAGACATAGTAACTCTTTAG